TCTCCATTGCATCATACGCATGTGAAAGTTGTACTTGAAAAAGACAGGCTCTGCCATATAAGTATAAATCAAAGTCTAAATTGACTTCACAGCAATGGTTTTTTTTTAGGGGGGTGGTGGTGGTTAGAGGGCAGGGCCAGCCAACCCACCCTGTTGTTGGGTGCTGTGGACTCCACTCCAACTCATGGCGACAACATGCCCAACAGATCCAAGCGTAGCCCAGTCCTACTGGCTTGTAAGGGCACAGGGTTCAGCACTCAATACCATGCGTGAAACCTGGTGTGTATTTGATAATGAAACAAATCCTTTGGGCATCGGTTTCTTTACACTATCTCTAATGTGAGAGCAGGAGCCCTGGTGGCACAATGGACTAAGTGTTGGGCTCGTAAGAGAGAGGTCAGTGGTTCGAACCCACTGGCTACTCCTCCAAAGAAAGAGGAGACAGTCTCCTTCCATAAACATGGTAGCCCTAGAAACCACGGGAGATTCTCCTCTATGATAGGAATGCTATGAGTCAGAATTAACTCAAGGGCAGTGGGCTGTGTCAGCACAGAGCTGATGGGTAATGACCAAACTCACTTGTTGTCCAATCCATTCCAACGCAGAGCAACCCTATAGGACAGAGCAGAACTGCCTCTGTGGGTTTCTGAGACTGTAACTTTACAGGAGTAGCAAGCCTCATCTTTCTCCCAGTGGCTGGTGATTTCAAACTGCTGACCTTGCGGTTAGCAATAACAATAGCACAAGTACATACTTCTTCGGTTTAGTGGAGGCTTTAAATCCTTTCCATAAAGCACTCAGAGTACAAGGGCATTTATTTTAAAGTTCGTAGCAAAATGGAATTCGAAAATAAAAACTAAACTATAAACTTTATTTCTTGGCTAAAGCTCCATCAAGTTCAAAATGTTGTTGTAAGCGATGATAACAACCATTTAGTCCATCCCTAAAGAAACGAGGCTCCGGGGAATTTAACAGTTTCTTTTTGATGGTATTAACTGATGGTCTTTAAAGACAATTTAAGATTAGAAAACTTCACAAAGTCAGAAGGAGCCAAATCAGGACTAAAGGTGGATGTCTGATGATTTTCCATCGACAGGCTCAAAAAGTCTGCCCTTGTTTGATGAAAGGAATGAGCAGGCGCTTGGTCGTGGAGGAGAGGAGCTCTCTGATGAAGCTTTCCTGGGTGTTTTTCTGTTAGAGTTTTGGCTACCTTTCTCAAAACATGTTCACAACAAGCATATATTATCATTCTTTGGCCCTCTAGAAACCCAACAAGCAAAATGCCGCAATCATCCTAAAACGGCCATCAGGACTTTTGCTTTTGACTTGTCTGCTTCTGCTTTGGCTGGACCACTTCCACTTCTTGAGAGCTGTCACTCTGACTGTGCTTTGTCCTGGGGGTCATATCGGGAAAGCCAGGTTTCATTGCTTCTTATTCCTCCAGGAAAGGTCTCAGGATCTTGATTTGCTTAAAATCTCTATTGAAAGCGCTGCTCTTGCCTGTACCTGATCTGAGCCCAAAAGTTCTGGTGCCCAATGAGAGGAAATCTTGCTCAACTTTAATTTTTCAGTCAGAATGGTGAAGGCTGAACCCATTGAGATGTCTATAGAGTGCTGGCTGGTTTCTGCTGTTCACCTTGAGTTAGAGCTTGGACAAGATTCATTTCTTCCTCACAACTTGATGTGGACGGTCTATAATCGCAGGCTTCATCCCAACAGTGTTCATCCTTTCGTAAAACGAGATATCATTTGGAAAACTGCTGATTTCTTGGGGGCATTGTTCCCTAAACTGAACATAAAGCATGAATGATTTCACCATTCCTCCATCCAAGGTTGAGCATTAATTTGATCTTTGTTCTTGCTCCAATTTGAGCAGGATAGTGTTGGGTCCTCCTTGGTGCCTCACACTTCCCCCTTCTGACATCCTATCGCGCATGAGTATGAGTATCCACACCTATGCATAGTGTTCTCCCAATGTGCATTTCCCATGAACTTTTGGAAGAACGTATTGTAGTGTCTACCACCCAATAAACATGGTATCACTATCCTGCCAATACTACTACTCACGCCACCACTGTTACCACCAGGGTCATTGCGCACACACAAATAGCTCCGTGCCCTACATATTAAAGCAACGTGACATTTTCACTTAAAATGCCCCTCTAACTAGGACATCTTTCTAGGTAGATGGGAACAGATCCCATGCCTCCTCGTCGCTAGGGGATGATGCCCTCTAGGATGGTGGTCACCCTCTGCCACACTCCCAGGACACAGTGTCGTCTTCAGGAAATGGTATACGGAGAAGGCTCACCACACAGATGATCCCTCCTCTTTGGCTGCTTTTTGGTCCCCAGGCGACCAAAAAGGCTCCTCAGGGAGCCTTCTCTCCAGACAAAGGGGGAAGCCTACTCCAAGTTTGTCTGGGCTGTGAGCCCCTCTGGTACCTGGGCCTGGGGAGACGAGGTGTGAGTGAGGACAGCTCCTGTGGGGCTGTGTCACAGTGGGGGTCAGGAGATGCCTCGGGGTGTCAGGGTCTGTGGAGTTGGCTAGGTCTGGGACTGAGTTGGGGTGGGGGGACATTCTACATGCCCTGTCAGCTCACTCGCCCACTTCCATGTCTGGTTCTGTATGGCCGTGGTCACCCTGTCTATAGGCCTGTGTTGTGGCTGCTCATTTCCCTCAGGAAGGGTCTTAGCAGGTTTAGGGCTAAGCTGATTTCCTCCCACCAGACTCCTCTCCTGAAAGACCCAGGTAATCCCTGGTCCTCCCAGTTGACTCAGAATATGGTCAGCCTCCCTTGTCGGCGCCTTTCCTGCTCCACCTGCCACAGTCCTCTCTCACCAGAGGTGGGGCATTGGCACCGGCCAGTGAACCATATCCATGTCCTCTTTCCTTGCACCTCCTCTGGGCAGCACAGGCTGTCCATAGATGCAACGATGGGAGAGGAAGGAAAGTCTAAATATGGGGCAGGGCCAGGGAACAAGGAGTTGCAAGGAGGGAGGCCACAGAACTGAGGCTAGAATTTGTCACTGCCAGCTGGGACTTTCAATGCCCTGACAGAGGCCCAGTTGTTCTCCAAGGGCCAGGGTGACCGCACCCAGCACCTTCAGAACGGAAGCATGCAGGTCATGGTTGGCTTGGAAACGGGGCCACGTTAATCACCATCCTCCTGGCAACGTCTAAGGACCTGAGCTCAGTCAGAGCCTGTGGACGGAGGCTGTGTGGTGAGAAGGTGCTGACCAGACTCTAATTGAGGGCACTGAGCACAGGTGGGGACAGTGTGGCTCTGCTCAATGGCCCTGGTGCCTGGCTACATCTAGGAACAGAAGCAGGGACAAGACAGGTGTGTGCTGGCTATGGCTTCTTGGCAGGGCTTACAGGTAGATTACACAGTGCTTAGCAGCAGCTGGGGAGTAGTAGTTATGCACTGGGCTACTAACTGCAAGATCAGCAATGCTCTGAATATCTGGGGTGCCACAGGCAGGTAGTTTGAGGACAGGTGCCTGAGGATCCCCTTGGGGGATGTTTGGGGAAGGGACTTAGCAAGGCAATGGTTCTGGAGAGGAGAAAGAAGAAAAGGGTCTCCCCATGCCACTCTCCTCCCATTGCTTGGGCTTACACTTGAAGGACCTTGGCCCCCATGTATGAAAACCATGGCACCAGAGTCATGAAGCAGTGTCCCAGTGTGTGCACAGCCTAGCGAGGAGCTAGCCCTCCTGGCTGCCATGAGGATGCCCTTTTAGCCACATCCTGAAGTGGGTGACTCTTAGTGGAATATCTGCAAGGAAGTGCGTGTGTGCACGCATGTGCAGGCTCGGCACATGCGAGCACGTACATAGATGCACACACTCAGGCACACACACAGAGATACACGCACAGGGGAACACAGGCACACACACACAAATGTGCCTCGGTTTATGGGACACCACTCTGCTGTGCTTGCCAGCTTCAGTGTTGGGGGGACGGGTCTGGAGGTGCCATTTCTGCAGCAGTACGTGCTCACTCTTGGCCTCTGGGCCCCAACGTGAGCCCCTCGAGATGTTCAAACCTTTCATCATGGTGCCAGTGAGAATCGAGTGATGACTCTACTTTGAAGGGCCGGGGTGGGGGGGGAGCCAAAATGGGTGGGGCTCACTTCGTTGCCCCGTTCTCTTGACTGGGCAGAGCCTGGGAGGGCAGGGGGCCTGGGAGAGCTGACTGGATCCCAAGACACCTCCCAGGCAGGCTGAGTAAGTGCCCGGAGGCTGGGGGTAAGAAGCCCTGTGGCCTCTGTTGTTCACTGTCCTGCTGTGTTGTGTGAGCCAGGGGGCCTGGTCTGACAGGTGACCAGCGCCCAGGCAGCCAGACTCCAGCGTGTGGGGGGGTGTCACAGCAAGTACTAGCTGTGGCCAGGACAAGGAAGGACAGCAAGCAAGTGTCCCCAGAGACTGAGGACAGTAAGTCTGTGCGTTCTGGGGCTGGTGGGAGCAGTGCCAGCGTCCGGTGGCTAGTGGTGACAAGAAGCCCGGGGCCCCTCATTCTGGAGATGGTCTGTCCTTGCAAATAGCAAGGCCACACTTAACATGCTGGGGTGGGGCTCGTGGCAAAGAACAGGGTGTTAATGGGTGCACGCCCACCCCGTCCCAGGGCAGGAACAGACTTACACTGCTGTGTTGGCTGCTACCCTCCACTTCTGATGTTCAAGGGCCCTGACACAGCCCAGATGACTTCTTCCCTGCACCCTGAGTCCAGACTCCTTGGACTCCCCAAGGCAGGAGTAACGCAAGCAACATGGAGGCAAAGTGGGCAGGGTGGGGGAGCAAGCTTCTCTTCCGTGATGGAAACGTCTCACAGGCAGGAACCGGGGGTCCCCTGGGTTGCAGACAGCCAGGCAAATGCTGAGTCACACTCTAGGCTAGTGTCACCTGCCAGGTGGGAAGGCTCCCCTCACCTTGCAGGAGAGGGTGTCTCTGCTTGTCCCCCTTCCGCTGTCTACTCTGACTCTCCGCTTCCCCCCACAGAAGCCTCAGAGCCATGTCAGCTCCCACTGCTGCCTTCGAGGCCCTCATGAATGGGGTGACAAGCTGGGATGTCCCCGAAGATGCCGTGCCCTGTGAACTACTTCTCGTTGGGGAGGCCGCCTTCCCCGTGATGGTGAATGACGCGGGCCAGGTCCTCATCGCCGCCTCCTCCTACGGCCGGGGCCGCCTGGTGGTGGTGGCTCACGAGGCCTACCTGGTGGAGGCACAGCTGGCACCCTTCCTCATCAATGCAGTGGGCTGGCTGTGCGCCTCGCCCGGGGCCCCCGTTGGGATCCACCCATCCCTGGCAGCTTTGGCTCAAATCCTTGGGGGCTCCAACGTGGAGAGCAAGATAGAGCCAGAGGTCAAAGACTCCCTGGGGGTTTACTGCATCGATGCCTACAACGAGACCATGACGGAGAAGCTGGTCCAGTTTGTGAAGCGGGGAGGGGGGCTGCTCATCGGGGGCCAAGCCTGGGACTGGGCCAACCAGGGCGAGGATGAGCGGGTCCTGTTCACCTTCCCTGGGAACCTGGTCACTAGTGTCGCGGGCGTGTACTTCACCGACAACAAGGGCGACACCAGTTTCTTCAAGGTCTCCAAGAAGATGCCGAAGACCCCGGTCTTAGTCAGGTGAGTTCTGGGGAGTGGCCTTACCTGCAGGTTTCTCCCAGGCCAGTGGCGGGCATGTAAATGCCCATTGTTGTTGTTGTCATTGGGTGCCACTGAGTCTGCTCCAACACAGCAGTCCTGGGGAAACCAAACCAAACCCGGCCTGGCCCTGCCCAGTCTCACGATTGCTGTGTTTGAGGCCCCGGGTGCGACCACTAAGCAACTCTCTCCTGGTCTCCCTTTGTCCCCACCGTCCCTCTCCTCTCCTGAGCCTGCTCCTGTACACACCTGACCATCTCCTGATGGCATGTCGAAGTATGTGAAACAGTCTCCCCTTCCTGGCTCCTAAGGAGTGTTGTGGCTGGGCCTCTCTCCCGTGATAAGATTGGCTCATCCGTTCTCAGGCAGTCCCAGCGCCATTTCCTATCCCTCACCTGCTCGAGAATTCAAAAATGTCAATTCTCCGGGTTGGCCAGCTCTCACATGCATGTGAGGTGACTGAAGATACCGTGGCATGGGCCAGGTGTATCTTGTCTTTGAAGGATCATCTTTTGACCCTTAAAAGTGGTCTTCTTCAGGGCCTGGGCCCAAGGCAAGATGCCCGTTGATTTCTCGACGGCAGCTTCCGTGGGTGAAGGAGTTGTTTCTGCTTTGACGCGTTCTCTGTGGAGCCTGTTGTCATTTATGGGCCGCTTGTGAGGAACAGCTCAAACAAACAAATGAACTCACTGCCACGGAGTCCGCTTCAATCCGTAGCCTTCCTAAGGGCGGAGCAGACCTGTCTCGTGGGTCTCCAGACCTGCGGATCTTTACGGGGGCAGAAAGCCTCGTCTTTCTCAAGCAAAGCAACAGGTGGGTTCAAGTCTCCGGCCTCAGAGCTCACAGCCCAGCGCATCGCCCACCACGCCACCAGGGCTCCTTGAGAATCCGCTAGGTTTTCAAGATCGCCCCCAGGCACAGGAGTAGGGACAAGGTCCTCATGGCGGCCGCCTGCCACCTTGAAGCCGAAGATGCTTAGTGCTCCTGCACAAGCTTCCCGATGGCGTCTGATGCACTGCAGGGGCTGTTCTTGGGTGCCGACTGAGGCTGAGTGGACTCCCGGTGTCCCCTGCGTGCAGAGTGGAACCACGGCCCAAAACCACGGCCCCGATGTGCAAAGTTGGGACCTTTAAGAAGTGGATCACCAGGCCTGTGCTCTGAGAGAACTCTGGGCAGGTGTGATCTGCTTGTGCACACAGTTACCCACACATCCATCCATTCCCCCCTGGCATTCCCAGACTGGAACCGGTGGTGCCGTAGTAAACACTGTCAGCACAATAGTTCTCTAACGCTCCCCACTGCCACGCCCATGACCCCAGTGCTGCCTTACAGTCCCAGCTAGACCAGAGCATGTACACAGGTACAGATAAGAGCTCCTGACACATGGAATAATCCAGGACAAATAAACCCCTCAGGAGCAGTAATGGGAGTAGTGGTACCATGAGGGTAGGGGAAAGGTGGGGGGAGAAAAGGGGAACCGATTGCAATGATAGACATATAACACACACACACCCAAGAGGGACGAACAACAGAAGTGTGGGTGAAGGGAGACAGATGGTATAAGATATGAAAATGAGAATAATTTATAAATTATCAAGGGTTCATGAGGGAGGGAGGGAAAAATGAGCTGATAACAAGGGCTCAAGTAGAAAGAAAATGTTTTGGAAAGGATGATGGCAATTTATGTACAAATGTGCCTGACACAATGGATGCATGGATTGTTAAAAGAGTTGTAAGAGCCCCCTGATAAAACGATTTTTAAAAAAAACGAATGCCCACCACCTGGATGTTTCTAGGAGAGCCCATCACACAGGACAGGTGAGAGAGGTGCACCTCAGACCCTTAGGGGGTTAGTGACTCCCAGAGTGTCTTAATTATTTGCTCCACCTGGGGCAGGTAACGTGCCCCCCCCCCATCCTGATGGCACGTGGGTGTGGGGGCGGACTTACCTGACCCCAAGGGACACGTGTCTTTCCAGTTGTGAGGACGACCTCTCCGAGGACAGGGAGGAGCTCCTGCGAGGCATCTCAGAGCTGGACATCACCAACACAGACTGCTTCCCGTCGCAGCTGCTGGTGCACGGCGCGCTGGCCTTCCCGCTGGGGCTGGACTCCTACCACGGCTGCGTCATTGCAGCTGCCCGCTATGGCCAGGGCCGCGTGGTGGTGGCCGGTCACAAGGCGCTGCTCGGCGCCAGCAAGCTGAGCCCCTTCCTGCTCAACGCCGTGCGCTGGCTAGACGCGAACCGCCGCGGCAAGATCCTGGTGCACCCGGAGCTGCGCGCGCTCAGCGCCCAGCTGGCGGCAGGGGGCGTGGACACCACCTTGGAGCCACAGCTGAGCAGCGATGCCAGCGTCTACTGCTTCGAGGCCGGGAACAGCGAGGTGGACGTCAAAGAGGTGCAGGAGTTCGTGGCCGAGGGCGGGGGCCTCTTTGTGGGCGCCCAGGCCTGGTGGTGGGCCTTCAAGAACCCGGGCGTGTCCCCGATGGCCAAGTTCCCCGGGAACCTGCTCCTCAACCCCTTCGGCATCAGCATCACCAGCCAGAGCCTGAACCCGGGGCCCTTCCGCACCCCGAAAGCCAGCATCCGGACCTACCACTTCCGGTCCACGCTGGCCGAGTTCCAGGTCATCATGGGCCGCAAGCGTGGCAACGTGGAGAAGGGCTGGCTGGCCAAGCTGGGCCCCGACGGCGCCGCCTTCCTGCAGATCCCGGCCGACGATGTCCCCACCTACACCTCAGTGCACCGGCTCCTGCGGAAGCTGCTCAGCCGCTACCGCCTACCCGTGGCCACGCGTGAGAACCCGGTCATCAATGACTGCTGCCGGGGCGCGATGCTTTCCCTGGCCACCGGGCTGGCCCATTCAGGCTGTGACCTGGCCCTGCTCATCCCGGAAATCGACGACGTCTATAGCTGCCCCTACCTGCGCCCCTCAGAGTCCCCCATCACCGTGGAGGTCAACTGCACTAACCCGGGTGAGCTGTGCAGGGGGGGTCGGGCAGGGACAGCAGCAGGCCGGGTCAGGGCCATCCCAGGTGCTGCCTGCTGCTTTCAGGATGGGGTGGGGACCCTAAGTGACCTTGGTTTCTGGGATATGGAAGGCGATGAGGCCCTGGAGGAGGAGAGAGCGAGATCTGGCTCATGGGGGACCCGGCCTTGCCAAGCAGGGGGCCACCTACCACTCCTGCCCTCCCCCAGCCCACCTGTGTGCTAACCAGGCCTGTGTCCTCTTGGCAGGCACCAGGTACTGCTGGGTCAGCACCGGACTCTACATCCCTTCCCGGCAGATCATCGAGGTCTCCCTGCCTGAGGCAGCCACCTCCGCAGACCTGAAGGTGAGGCCAGGCCTGTCGCAGCCAGGTGACCACAGGGAATGAAGGGCTGGTCTCTCTAGCTCCACCTCACAGACGGGCAGCACAAGCGTTCCTGAGAGTGGCTCGCCTCAGGGTCCATGGCTCCGAGGCAGCCCGGAGCTTTCGGCCTGTGTATGTCCCAGCCCCGGCACTCAGAGGTCCCTGTGCAGAGCACTGTGGCTCAGCAGGTGGTCAACACCCTAGCCCACTCTCGGGCCACCTGTACCTCCTGCTGTAACTGTCACACACGTGCGATCGCACGCATGAACACATGCATGTGCAACATACACGCACCCATGTAAACACACATGCACATACATGCATGTACACACTTGTATATGCCCTCACACACACATGCAGGCACACGTGTCCTGCATATACGCACCCATGTATAAATGTGTGTCTGCAAACATGCACACCCATGTGCACATGCACACAGGAGCACATATGCGCATATGCACACATTCATGCATGCATGCATGCATGAGTTCATAGAGTGGGCGCTGTTCCTCCTGGTGGTCAGTCTCTCCCTGCATGGACCTCTCCCAGTACTTGTTGAGCAGGAAGGGAGTTACAGGACTCTCAAGAGCTCGGGGTCCTTCCTCTGACTAGGAGGGGCCCAGGAAGACAGGGAGGAATATTGGCCCTGGGCCCCAACAGCCTTTACGCCTCCCAGGGCCTCTCCCAGATCAAAGCCAGGCAGGGGCTCTCCACCCATTCCTGGCTGGAGTCGGAGCAGCAGAATAGACCCCAATGTGTCTATTCTCCAGGGCCCCGTGGGACTGCCCTCCTCAGGATTAGCCTCAGGGAGACTGACTCCTGGTGCATCCACGTGGGTGTCTTGTCAGGACTCACCAGGGCCCCTGGCAGCAGGCTCTCCAGCCCAGTGGCCTTGTGCACGGATGCCATTCCCAGGTCCACACATGGCCCGTGTGGGGAGAGGACAGTCCTGACCTTCCTGGGTGCCCACTTCTCAGGTGCCCATCTGTACCCCCACATGGTCCACAGGATGGGGGGATGCCCTGCGCTTCCTGCGTGCCCACTTTGTTGATGCCCACTTCTACCCACACACAGCCCACTGGGTGAAGGGACAGCCTTGCCCTTCCTGGGTACCCATCTCCCTGGTACCCACCTCCAAGCAGCCTCTCCCCTCCCCAGTCCCCTGGTGACCCACTCCTCCAGCGTTGGGCCTCTACTCTCAGTTCCAGATCGGCTGCCACACGGATGACCTGACCAGGGCCAGCAAGCTGTTCCGCGCCCCCCTCGTCATCAACCGCTGCTGCCTGGATAAGCCGACCAAGTCCACCACCTGCCTGTGGGGCGGGCTGCTCTACATCATTGTGCCCCAGAGCTGCAAGCTGGGCCCCGTGCCCATCACTGTCAGGGGGGCCGTGCACGCCCCCTGCTACAAGCTGGGTGAGCAGCGCAGCAGGCTGGGGAGGAAGGCAGGCACCCTGACACAGGGGGCAGAGAACTGGGTGGCCACAGTAGCCGGACCCCATTCCCTCGTCCCGAGCGCCAGCCACGTGTTTGCTGCTGGGTCTGGGGTGTGATTGCAAGTCCTTGGTCTCTGTTCTAGGGGAGACGACCCAAGAGGAATGGAAGAGGCGCCTGCAGGAGAACCCGGGGCCCTGGGGGGAGCTGGCGACAGACAACATCATCCTGACATTGCCCACAGCCAACCTGCGCACCCTGGAGAACCCCGAACCCCTGCTGCGCCTCTGGGATGAGGTGATGGCGGCCGTGGCCAGGCTGGGCGCCGAGCCCTTCCCCCTCCGCCTGCCACAGAGGATCGTGGCTGATGTACAGATCTCAGTGGGTGGGTGTCCTGTGCTTCCCCTGCCTGGACTCTTGGGCCACTCCAGGTGGGGGTGCCCTGCCTGGCTTTTCCTTGGGTGACTCCATGTAGTGGGTGCCCCACCAGGACTTCATGGGGGGGGCGGGGGTGCTCTGCTGGAACTCTTGGTGCATACCACATAGGTGGGTATCCCCAGGGTGTTCTGTACATGCTTCTTGAAGGCTTTTCCTGAATCCACACCATGTGGGTCGGGTTCCGATGCACCCTGCCCCCGGGCCACCCCTTCGTCCACAGCTAGGCAGTGAGTGGCCAGTAGGGTCAGCAGCATACCAGACACAGCCCTGGCCCTTGACATGGGAAGGGAGGAAAATTACATTTAAAGAAAGACTCGTGTTACATAAGCTTGCAGGGAGGGCAACATCGGGGAGTCCCAGGCAAGAATAGGGGAGGGGGGGTGTCTGTGCTCTGGAGGCATCCTTAGGTGGGCGTGGGAATGAGATGCCACAGAATGCCTCTAAGCAGAGGTCCTCAAACTACCACATGTGGCCCACTGGCTGCTTTTGCCCGTTTTGGTTTTTTTACTTCAAAATAAGTTATGTGCAGTGTGTATAGGAATTTGTTCATAGTTTTTTTTTAAAACTATAGTCCGGCCCTCCAATGGGTCTGAGGGACGGTGAACTGGCTCTCTGTTTAAAATTTGAGGACCCGTGGGACCCTGGTATTCTTGCCCACATGGCTGGTCCCTAACAAGCTGTGTGTACGTGGCTGTCCCTCAGAGCCCCCAGGGTAGCCTCTGCCCACAGTCAGAGAGCGAAAGTGAGGGGCTGCTTGCGCCCCAAGGCCAGGCGGAACACCCTGACTCCGGCTTCTCCGCAGGCTGGATGCACGCCGGATACCCCATCATGTGCCACCTAGAGTCGGTGCAGGAGCTCATCAGCGAGAAGCTCATCCGGACCAAGGGGCTGTGGGGTCCGGTGCACGAGCTGGGCCGCAACCAGCAGCGGCAGGAGTGGGACTTGCCCCCGCACACCACGGAGGCCGCCTGCAACCTGTGGTGTGTGTACGTGCACGAGACCGTGCTGGGCATCCCCCGGGCCCGTGCGAACATCGCCCTGTGGCCCCCGGTCCGCGAGAAGAGGGTCCGGATCTACCTGAGCAAGGGGCCCAATCTGAAGAATTGGAATGGTTGGACAGCCCTGGAGACATATCTGCAGGTGCCGGGGAGGGTCGGGGGGAAGGCGGGGACAGCCCTGGAGACATATCTGCAGGTGCCGGGGAGGGTCGGGGGGAAGGCGGGGACAGCCCTGGAGACATATCTGCAGGTGCCGGGGAGGGTCGGGGGGAAGGCGGGGACAGCCCTGGAGACATATCTGCAGGTGCCGGGGAGGGTCGGGGGAAGGCGGGGACAGCCCTGGAGACATCTCTAGGTTCAGGGCAGACGTACCTCTAGGTGCTGGGGGAGGATGGGGAGAAGGTGTGGACAGCCCTGGAGGCGTACTTCTGGGTACTGAGGGAAGGTGGGTCATCTTTTTCACCCTGCCCCTCCTGTCCTCTCCTGCTACCCAAAACGCACACCCTTGTGTCGATTCTGACTCGCAGCAATCTCAGGCCGCAGCAAAGCTGCCCCACAGGGTGTTGGAGGCTATGCACCTTCATGGCAAAGGAGACGGACGCACCTTTATCCCACGGCTGCTGGTGGTCAGCGGCCCAGCGCTCGCTGGGCAGCGCCGCCCTGGTGGGCTCCACCCTGAGGCTGCGGGAGAGCACAGTGAGCGTGCATGTGCATATGTAGCGCCTGGGTCTCCCGCTACAGCGCAGGCCTCTCACCTGGTTCGTGTCCTCTCCCCGCAGCTGCAGGAGGCCTTTGGTTGGGAGCCGTTCATCCGCCTGTTCACCGAGTACAGGAACCAGACCGACCTGCCCACAGACAACGTGGGCAAGATGAGCCTGTGGGTGAAGACGTTCTCCCAGCAAGTGCAGAAGAACCTGGTGCCCTTCTTTGAAGCGTGGGCCTGGCCCATCCAGAAGGAAGTGGCCACCAGCCTGGCCTACCTGCCGGAGTGGAAGGAAAATATAATGAAATTGTACCTGCTCACCCAGATGTAAGGAGTGCCCACCAGGTGGCAGGCAGCCCCCGAGGTCGTGGGTGGGGGAGGAGGGGGGCAGGGGGCCAAGGCAGAGACGGAGATCCACTGGGCTCTGTCCCCAGCAGTGGGGCCTGGTCCTCAAGCCCACTACATGCCATCAGAACAGATCCCTGTGTCCGAATCTCATCCCTCCACTCTTCAGCCCATAGACCCCAGCCCTCCCCAGGCCCACCCCGATCGAGCTCTTGCACCCACTTCTGAACGGGCAGTGGCTCCCCAGCCGAGCGGGCTTCTTACCCTCATAGCCTGAGCATTCTCTCCGCACTTTGCATTCTGGCCAAAGCTTGACCATAGAACCAGCGGGTGGATCACAGGTTCACCTTAGTGCCTGACCTCACCAATGCCTCCCATGCCTGGGGTCTGGGGTGCTTCCCTCGAGTTGGGAAGCAGGCTATAGGGGAAGGACCTACATGAGGGTCTGCTTTGAGAAAGCCAGTCATCTCAGAGCCCATTGCTTGTGTGTGAAGGGGAACATAGACCCCCCCTCACGGGGCACCTAGAAGATTCCGAAGGTGAGCCTCGAGGAGGTGGCCCCCTGTGGCAGGTTCCCCAGGTCACCAATGCCGGCAGCCAGACCCTGGTTCTGTTCTAGTAGTTGTGCGACGCTTAACAATCCCTTAACTGCTCTGTGACTCAGTTTCCTCATCTGTACAATGGGACTGACAATGCCCCAGAGAGGGGATGAGTCCTGGATCTTGCAGCCCATAGAAAAGCAAACAGGGCAGTACCAGGCAGGTGGCTGTTATCAGATGCCGGTGAGTCCGTCCGGCTCATAGCGACCCTGTTCACAGGAAGGAAACGCCGTCCTGCCCCGCACCGTCCTCACAGTGGTTCTGATGTCTGAGCCCATCGCAGCAGCCACGGTCTCCATCCCTCTCATCGAGAGCCTCCTCCATTCCACCGCCCCCCACTCTACCAGGCATGAGGTCCTTCTCCAGGGACTGGTCTCTTCTGACATGTCCAAAGTGCGTGAGGCAGTCTCTCCATCCGTGCCTCGATGGAGTGCTCTGGCCATACTTCCAGGACAGATCTGTCTGTTCCTCTGGCTTGCCGCAGGATTTCCTGTCTTCTTCACCAGTGCCCTCCTTCAGTTCATTGATTCTTCAGTCTTCCTTATTCAATATCCCACTGTCACATGCACAGGACAGGCAATTGGCAGGTGTTAAGGAAAGGTCGGCCGCTGTCACGGTTCACTCCCTCAGACTCACCTTAGAGCTGGGCTTGCCTCTCAGGTTCAGTTCCACCGACTGCTACCCTGTCTCACATGGTGGACAGCAGGCTGGGACGGAGCTGAACCTGAGGCTTTCTGAGTCTAAAGGGTGGAAAGTCACAGTGAGTTTAGGAAAGCCCCTAAGTCGGGTTATTCAGTTCCAGCTTTCAGGTCACGTCCGTTCTTCTAATGAACCCAGCATGGAAGTCACATGACAGGCCTGAACCGGTCCACTGAGTGTCTGCCTTCTGGGGATGGTTGTGATGTTGTTCAGTGCTGTCGAGCCGATTCCGACTAGTAGCGGTCCTACTCACGATGGACGGAAATATCGCCCGGTCCTAACCCGTCTTTTTATTTCGTATTCCTTATGTCTGAGCCCGTTATTGGAGCCACTGTGTCAATCCATCTCGCCAAGGGCCTTCCTCTTTCTCACTGCCCCTCCACTCCACCACAGCACTGGTCTTTGCTGTGAATGTGTCCAAAGTACACGAGAGGCAGCCTTGCTTCTAAGGAGCACTCCTGCAATACTTCTGACTCTGTTTTATTATTATTATTTGCTGGAACTTAGGAATGAATACACATGTCATATCATCCCATAGTCCAATCATGTCAAACACAAGTGTACAACTTTTCAGTAATTGGTCTCTAAGCATACTTTTCCTTCCTGGGCTCCTTGACATCATCTCCTTCTTATTCCAGGCATGCTTCCGATGGTGCTTAGGGTTCCGTGGTCACGCGGAGGCTCTCGTTGTCAGTTAGGTACCTGACCCTCTCTAGTTCATTAGCACCCTCGAGTGTTTTCCCCTAAGTAGGTTCGTTTCCAGTGCTCACCAACTTGTTTCTTTTGACTGAGCTGCTGGACTACACTGCTTACCGGATGTGCTTCACTGGGAGTTGAGTGGTGCTTGCACAGTTAGGTTCAACTTGGGTCATGTCTTTCTGTGGATGCCTTTCTTGTGTCTTTTCTTACTGCTAGAATCACACACACACACACACACACACACACACACACACACCTTTCATGCTTGACAGGTGCCCAGGTACTTCAAACACAGAGAATGTTCCATAAAGCCTGTGATAACGAGGCCTGGTCTCCATTTCACACAGACGCGAGTCGCTGTGGGTCAACTCCAGCTCGGAGCACGGTCATGTGTGTCCGGGTTCCCCCCCCCCCACCCCACCCCAACACACACACACAGGGTTTCCAGTGACTAAATGTTTCAAAAGGAGATTCTTTTTTTTTTCTATTTAAACCATTTTATTGGGGGCTTTTACAGGTATTCTAACAATCCATACATCAATTATATCAAGCAAACTTGTACGTACGTTGCCGTCATCATTTTCAAAACATTATCTTTCCCCTTGAGCCCTTATAATCAGCAACTCAATTTTCCCCTCCCTCCCCCACAATCCCACCCTCGTGAGCCCTTGATAAATTATATATTATTATTTTCATATCTTACACCATCTGCTGTCTTCCTTCACCCACATTTCTGTTCATCGCCCTTGGGGGGGCGGGTGGTTATACACCCATCATTGCTATCAATTCCCCCTTTCTCCCCTTCCCCCTCCCCCTCCCTCATGGTGTCGCTATTCCCATTACTGTTTCTGGGGGTTTGTCTGTCCTGGGTTCCGTGTGTGGAGAGCTCTTATCTGTACCCATGTGCATACTCTGGTCTAACAGGATTTGTGAGGTAGAACTGGGGTCATGATAGTGGCAGGGGGTGGGGGAGGAAGCATTCAAGAAAGTTTTGTGTTTGGTGGTATACTGCACCCTGGCAGGTTCGTCCCTTCCTTGTGACCCTACTGTGTGTCTGGAGATTCTCAGGGTGACCTGTGGGTGGACGTGAAACCTCCAACCTCCCAGTGAGCAGCTCTGTGTGCACGTGTGTAACCACACGTCACGCTGCGTGACCTCCCCAGCTCCTCCTTTTCCTGGCAGTGCCGAGTAGGCACCTCCTGGTGTGCGGATGGCTTCACCTAGATGGTCTCAGTTCATCTCCGTAATCAGTCATTTCACGCAGCAGAAGCCGCCCATCTCCCTGTTTTATGAACGAGAGAGCTGACGCGGATCGCGATGACGGCAAAGCCCCAAGGTCGAGTTCCCCTCAGGCCTCGGTCTTGGATCTGGACCCAGGCCCTCTGGTTAGAAGATGAGTGGCCTTAGCAACTGTTTAGGAGCCCTGGTGTCCGAGGGGTCATAGAACGTCAGCAGTTCAAAACCAGGAGGAAAAATGGGGCTTTCTGCTCCTGTCAAGAAGGACAGCCTGGGAAACCCACAGGGACAGTTCTGCCCTGTCCTATGGAGTTGCCAGCGAGTGAGTGAGTTAAGTGCTGTGCTTCCAGGGCCCAAAGAAGCCTGCTGGTTGCTGAGAGACCAGCTAGAAAGCAGAGGGCCTGTGTGTGGTCTTGACAGCCCCCTCTTGTACTTGACTCCTGAGCAAGTTTGATCCCAGATGCAGCCAGAGGATGAATGTCAGGCGGGACCCTAAAGGGCCCTCCCTAGTTGGCTGCACTGTGGGGAGCTATTTAGCATCACCCCAGCTGTTAAGAGACCATCCTTCCTGGGCACCACAAAAGCCTTCTACTCATCTGTGGGATTTTCATGATGGGCTCTTTTGGTAAAGCTGCCTTGACTCCCTAAAATCCCACCACTGCATGTTCTCACATGGGAAGGTAGCCCCTCAACCTATCAGAACAATAACCTGGTCTCATCCTGGCCCTCTTGAATCTCTGCACAAACAGTGTGGACATGGGGGGGGCCCAGGGGGGGGCGATCTTTGGCAAATGTAAAGCTGTCCCAGCCACACCCCTGCTAAGAGCCTCCAGGAGGTCGTTTAATGTAAGATGATGGACTGGAAATTTGAGGTTGCTTCTCCTTCCTCCCCAGGCCCCACTGAAATGGAAGTCAAGACAGCGCAGCACAAACACAAGTGTCTCAGCAGAGAAAACGGAGGAGAGAGCGTGGGTGGAGTATGATGGCCATTGAACCGGAGGAGATGTCTTTCAGCCAGAATCTTAGCTCATCTGAACACTGTTGCCCAGACAGCCTTGCGATCCCCAAAACCCTGTCCACTGAAGAGATATGCCAGTTGGTCATTGGCATTCCCATTCTTCCCCCACTCATGTGCGCACAGGACGGGCAGCCTGCTATCGGTGCCAGTCAACATGTTCTTGTTTCCTAACAACGAAATGGAATGAAGAGCCTGAGAAGAGGTAGGAGTTGGCACTCCAGAATAAAAGTCCGATTTTTTTTCATGACGTTAACTGCCACCCCCCTTGAGCCCATCAGTTCATCGTCTGCCGACAGCGGAAGCACCCCAGTAGATACCCAGTGCTTTTGTCCGAAGAGGGAGCTCACACAGACTCAGTGATGGCGACAACCCCACACCAGCCACCTGCTCTAGCCACACGTGCCGGTGAATCTTAAATGTGAATGGTCACCCTCACAGTCTTGGGCATGGGAGTGGTGTCAGGAAAATAACAGGTGGGGGGTGTGGGCCGTGTCAGGGGTTGGAAGATGGTGATAAACTCCACAGCACACAGGATTAACATAGAGACCAAATAAATAACTTAAAATGCCAACTCTGTCTTCGGAAGGATTTTCAAGACGTGCTTGCAAAACACAAACAGATGTTACAAAGAAGGGGTAGACGCTAAGGAGAAGAACTCTGTGGAGGGCAAAAGGTCTTCAGTAGGCCGACTGGAACATAGCATCAGGGACCCTCTCACAATCTAGAGCAGCAGTTCTCAGCCTGTGGGTCGCGACCCCTTTGGGGCCCGAATGACCCTTTCACAAGAGTCACCCGATTCATAACAGTAGCAAAAGGACAGTGATGAAGTAGCAACGAAAATAATTTTATGGCTGGGGGTCACCACCACATGAGGAACTGTATGAAAGGGTCGCGGCATGAGGAAGGTTGAGAACCACTGCTCTAGAACAAAAAGAAACAGAAAGGAAGAAGGAAGAACAGAGACATCCATCGTGGAACTTTAAAGACAGTGTGTGAGGATATAACAAGTGCCCGCAAAAGGGGTGGGGGCGATGAGGGAGGGGAGGCAACAAAAATGCCATCCCGACGAGCTCTCTTACAAAACAAATGAGGAACAAGCCTGGCGGCAGACGGCCCACCAGCAGCGCACATGCTACAAGCCAACGGAGCAGAAGCTGAGAACAGTGTATGGGAGATGTTCTTGGACCCAGAATCCCAGAACGAGCCAAACACTGAGAGGGGAGAGAGTGCAAACAGGTGCATTTGGGGGCATGCTGATTCTCAGACAGCGACCTCCCCCACACCCTTGTTGGGAAAGACCTTGAGGAACGCCCCCAGCAAAACAAGGAAGAGGAGCGGAAAAGAAGAAGGCATTGGGATCCAGCAGACAGTGGCGCTCACATAGGCTGCCTCCCTCCAGAAGGGCCGTCGTCCTGCGGACCCATCTCTGATGGAGAATGCACAGGCTCCAAGGCTCGGGAAAGAGTTCGTGTTCTTGGCCTTCGATGGTATCGTTGGGAGGCAGGATTGCTTGGGACGGTGGATGACACACATCCCTCAGCCAACAAAAGAGAAAGACAAGATTCAGATGTCGCCAAGCAGGAACAGAATGAGACATTTTAAGGGGGTTATAAGGAGAGACTTGATTTGACCTTGGTAGTGGGCACCTTTGCTTTCCAGTCGGGTGCGAGAAGAGTCTCTAGTCTGGCCCAGGATTTCCGTAAACAGGATTTACATCGCCATGATCGTGTGCTTAGTATGTGTTGGTACCAAAGCCTGCCCACATCTCCCCGGGTATCTCCTGATCCGCGGTTCTGATCTGCCAACAGGAAAAGAGTGAAGGCTTAGCTGCTGGATCCGAGCGGACCGTGGACGCCATGAATGCTGACAAAATATGGGAAACAAGGCAGAATGGGGATAAGAATGAGTCGGGAAGAGGAGAACGAGAAGGGCTACTTGGACCTTCAAAGGGGGATGACGAGATAGGCCTAAGGGGGAATTGGAACAAGAACTCCAGGATCCAAATAAGGCATGAAACCAACGGAAGTTTTAGAAAAAATTAGGACCCGTCTGTTATGACCTCCGAGAAGGAGATGCAGAGGAGAGGTGGCTAGAGAGTGAGTGATTTCCATCCTTGTCTTCTGTCATTGGAGAATCCTGAAGGATCGTTGAGTTCTGATCACCAAGAAAGGACCATTGCACGCACATGACTGGAAGTTAGGGAGTTAGTTCCCAGAAGATCCAAAAATAGACACAGTGAAAAGGCATTGCCTCTAGGAATCAGATCGAAAGGTTTAAGAAGGAAAACAAGAATTGGGTGGGAACCTCTGCTTTTCATTTTACGCCCTGTACTATTTAATTATTTTTTACCTTGTGCATGTATGACTTTGAAAAATTTTTTAATAAACTCAAATAAAAAGGTCTTTGGTGTCTTCCCATTGACGGAGAAGCAGTCCAACCAAGCTCTCTTGAGACTCACCAGGCCCTAGTGGGTTCAGATCCGCGTGACGGGGCCGCTCAACAAACCACCCCATGATGTGGAGGTGGGGGGGTCTCATTTTTTCCTGAAGGAGGAAGGGACATCTGGTATGGTGGTGGTAGCATTCAAAGCTGTGGAATGTCACTAGCTCCCCCTCAATTATGACCCCAAAAGAGAAAATAGGCTTATGGGTGGCGGAGAAGGAGGAGGAGAAGCAGGCGCAGGTGAGATTTATAAATGCACCCGAGGAAACTATGAATACTGCTAGTGCCGCCCCCCCCCCACTCACCCCCATGTCATGAGAAGCAGCAAGCGCTAGATCCATCGCTTCAAATGGAGAAGCACGCAAGACCCTGCCCCTTGAGAAAAAGAACACGCTGGAGTATGAATCAAGGTGCCTTAAGTGCAGGACAGAAACATAAATGCTCGCAAGCTCCTTGCCCCCACTACAATAAGCTTGATAAATAAACATGAGTGGTTGGGTGTTAGGAGAGAAAACTAGAACAGTCCTTGGGTTAGAAGCCAAGATAGGATTCAATGTTCCCAGAATGCAACAGGGGAAGGAGCTGTGAGGCCAACTGGAGAAGCCAGAGAGGGCTGGGAGAGTGCCAGAGGGAGGGAGGGAGGGAGGGAAGGAGGTGACCTTACAGGGCAGGTCTAAGAATGCTTTAGTAACACCTCTGGGGGGCCTGGAGCCACTATCACCCACCAGAAGACTCCCTGCCTCCTAGGGACAGTCTGCCTGGGATCCCTAGGGGACCCTCTGGGCACCATGGAGTTGGGTTTCAGAGTCCAGCAGCGGGGACCGGCTGTCAACACACTGGCTCCCCAAGGTTGGAGTTGGTTGCCCAGGGTTTCCATGGCCACCACAGCTGTGGACACCTGCTCTGGATCATCATCGTTGCAAATCATGAACCTGGAACCTGTTCTGTGACTCATACCCCAGAATTCCCGGAGAAGGGCTCATCCCAGATTAGAGTGTGGGTAGTTCTTTCCAGGACTCCTGTGAGGGAAAGCAGACCGCGACGGAAGGAGCCTAGGGGGTTACACTGAGTTAAATTTAGGGCTCAACACCAACAGAGAAGGGGATCAGAGAGGACGGATGCTGGTCCCGGATGGGGACACAAATGTGGGAACAGCCCAGCCAACCTGAGTGACTGCAGGGCCTGGTCTCTGCTTCCATAAGTCTCGTGTTTCTAGCATAGAGTCAGCCCATACCCACATGAGGCTCCGTGTCCTGTCTCCACTAGCCTCTGCATGCAGTCCCTCTCAGGATTAAACTGCCACTAACCCCTGTTAGCTGCTTCCTGAAGATCTAAGTACAAGGTCAGCCGTTCAACACCACCAACAGCTCTGCAGGAGACCGACAAGGATTTCTCCTTCCTGAAGACTAAGTCTGCCCCCTTCTTGCCAGCTCCTGCCAAGACCCTGCCATCCATTAAGCCACCAGCCTGTCTTAGGTGGGCTGCACTGGTCTCCTAACTGAGCAGCCCCAGCCCCTCTGGCTAGGAAAGAGTTACCTCAGCAGGCCTCTCCTTTGTTCCAGGCCGGTGCATTCCAAAGGCAGACCCTGGCCAGCTTCCAGGAGCTAGGCTCCAAGTCCTTGGAATGCTTGGCTGTTCCTGCATGCCTCAGGCCTCCGGCCTCTGAGAAGGTTAGCCTGAGTGTACTTTCCAGGGAGAGCCTGTGTTTCCTTTGTGAATGGAACATGGGCCCTGAGATCAAGGTCAGCCCCATGGTGCTCCCCAGTCACAAAGCCAGAAACCCAGGTGCCCTTCTGATGGCCATTCCACCCGACTGCTCACAGGATGCCTGCCTCTGCTGCTTCTCCCCCCACCCCGACCCCTGTACCCCTTCCCATCCCTGAACTGTGTGTGGTTACCCTAAGGTTCCACATCACAACAGAACTGTGAGGGTGACCGCTTCGGAGCCCTGCGAGCCCTGCTGGCCAGAGGGTGGGACCTCACCTCCCGTCACAACTAACCCATTTCACTGATGCTTGTTCAATTCCGACCAGCACAGCCCCCACACAGAGTGGTCAGAGGGCCCCAGGCCCCAAGTCACAGACCTGTACTGATGGGACCCCGCTGAATTTCCACCGAGGGCCCTGCCTCCCAGGTGACAGCCTGGGCTTGCTGCCTGTTTCCCGAATGTGAAACCCTCTCCTACCTCAGGGGCATTTCCCTCTCTTGTGCTCAGTCGTCTCGCCTACGTGTCAGAGTGGACATTGAATAAGGAGACCGAGGGAGACTGGATGCCCTTGAACAAAGGTGCTGGGCAAGACTATTGAAAGTACCACGGAGTGCCAAAAGAGCAGGCCAATCTGCCTTGGAAAACGTCTGCCCAGTGCTCCCTGGAGGCAAGGATGGTGCGGTTTTGTCTCACATACTTGGGACACAGGGTCAGTAGAGGCCAGTCCCAGGAGAAGGACATCGTGTTTGGGAGAGCAGAGGAGAGAAGCGATTCGCCGGGTGAACTGACCCAGTGGTTGCAGCCCTGGGCTCGAGCACATGCAACGGTGACGCTGACCCAGGCCTGGGCGGTGTTTGGTTCAACTGTTCATGGGGTCCCTCTGCACGGAACCGACTCGACAGCACCTGACAACAACGGGAACCC